CTTGGATGTGCAATGAATACTGGCTGGGAATTGTTAATCAAAGTTCAAATTGCTGTTGATGGTCAGTTTCACTGCCCCACTTTTCAATATCTTGTGTGTACTTTTTAGATTGGAAGGTGTGTGCAAAATCTTTTTACAGTTATATAAAGAAAAAATCTCTATGGATGTTATTTCAGTAAAAAAAAAAAAAAAAATATTTTGAAAATTTGTTCCTAATCTTACCAATAATAAATTAAACTAAAAAAAATACATTTTTGAGAGACAGTGTTTGCATAATTTAATAAAACACATTTTCTTTCAAATTGGGCAGAAGAAAAACCTACACTTGAAATTAAAAAAAAAAAAAAAAAAAAAAAAAAATCACATTTCTTTTTGTTATCAAATAAAGACATGTTTGAAGAATAGGAAAAAGTAAAGATTAATTTCATTTTTGAGTGTGAACCTATTTAAATTTTTTTTTTAATTTGATTTCAGCAAGTGTTAGATTATTTTTGTATGGATGTTCAAAGAGGAAATAATTTTGAATTACCTCCTTCCCTATCAGAAGATTAATTCAATAACACTTTTAAAATCAAAATAAAAGAAAAAGACCTCATTAATGCAATTAATTCTTATGGCGCCAAAATGTAAGGAAATAATAAAAGCAATGAATTTAAACTCAAAAGTATAATTTTACTAATTTTAAATTAATTTATTTTTATACTTCTAATCATAATGTAGTATAAAAATAAATTATTAATTCCATTAAGTTTCATAAAATTAAAAGCATATAGAATAAAAAATTATGTTCTTAAACTGTTGGTTATGTTAAAGGTGACTTACTTTTAAACATAAATACATAAATTTCTCGATTATTGCACTGCTAATCTTCCGTATTTCTTTTCCTTTTTTAATTTTTCGCGCTTTTTTTTTTTAAAGTCGCGTATTACGGGACAAAATTATTGTCTGACCTATGACAACACAGGCTACTTTGCATTAAGAAACGTTATGTTTTCAGCAAAAAGTAAGCATTACGTTTACAAAATCCAATTAATTAATCCTTAAATTTACTGACCTCGAAAAATACATGTCTAGGACAAATATCAGATTTTTATTTTAATTTTGTTTAAATTTTTCGTCTATATGACAGTTCAATAGAGGAGTGACGAATGAACGTGCCAATGTTTTAAAAATGCCTAAAAATAAATCTTTATTTTAATCCTTGTCCGGGAATTTATTTTTCATACAAATTAGCTTTCTTTAATTTAATTTTCAAGAAGACATTTTCTTAAATTGTTTAAAAAATTCGTTTATCGGGATTCTATGAAGTCTGTGCGTTACGTATATTTTTTCAAAAATATTTTAATGAAATAACGTCAGTCAAGTATAATTCATTCATTAATAGATAAGTTGTGAAAATTTCATTTAAATTGGGTAATTCCTTGATTTTTGGTAATTTAAAAAAAACAAGAACAAAAAACAATGTATGAGCTGTGGTTTTTCGCTTTCATTTCGGAACTTTAAAAAAATGATTGCATTTTTTTGGTTTGGTTGGTGGAACCAGAATTATTGAATAAAATACGAACAAAAATTATCCTGAGAAAAAGATAATTTTTTTCTGCAAAAATTATACAAAAAATTAATTCTTTAAATTAAATAAAAACAAAATTTAAATTATTGCCCTACCTTTTTTTAAGGCATCATGATTTTTTAAACAGTGCTATTCATTTCATTTGACTTCTTTTTTTTTTTTTTTTTAACTCGAATGATTTGTTGAGGATATTATTATTAAGTAACAGATTATTTTTCATTTCGACGAAGAAAACAGTATAAAACTTAAGAACAAATACTAAATTAATGCAGCGATTAAAAAGGTGATCATTCAATGATGTAAGTTTTGTTTTTTAACATATTCAAATAATCAAATTCAATTGAAATAAAATTATGAAGAAATAAAGACGCCTGCCTTTTTACTTTTTTTTTTTTTATAGCACAAACCGAATTCAGATGGAATTATAGGCTGTGAATAATAAAACAGATGAAAGGTAAATATATAGATCTTTAAAAATTACCTTTTTTTTACATATGGAATCCAAAACGGAAAACTGACGATGTTTGCTACTCCTTATTTTCAAGTACTATCCAAATTTGGTCAACTTGTTTTTTGTTTTTTTTCAACACAACTTCCATATTGTCTGTTCAATTCATAATAATAATAAATCTGAAGTTAGATTTTTTAAATAATAGCACAGAGAATGAAGTTCTAGAAGAAAAAGGGAAAGAAAAATACAAAGCAAATATTAAATAATGATGGAGAAAAATTATGAGAAAACACAACAAAGACCGCTACACGGTGATGTATATAATTTCGTCCTACCTAAAATATTGTTCCAAGTGTAAAACGACGTGGTTAAATTAATTTTGCTCAAAGCTATATTTTTAATTTAAAAATATGTACAAACTTTTGACGGTAAATATGAGACGAAGTTTTCATCAGTACGACATTGCTATGAAACTAAATATTTTCAGCAAAAAATAGATAAAACAAAATCAGTCAAAACGAAATCGGCGAATTTTAAATTTCGGACCCGCGAAGAAACGGCATATCAAAAGGACGGTTTTTCTCTTGACACCGCTATTACTGTATACTCCCTCAGCAATGTTTTATTTTATTTTAATTTTTTTTTTAAATAAGATTTTAACGATAAAACCTAGATTTTATCAAGTTTGGGACATTTTTTCCTTATGGTATGCTTTTTCTTTTTTAGAGATTTTGTGGTGCTACCTAAACAAAAACAAAAAATATTACACACTGTAAGTGTAGTAGTTGTTAGTTAGATTGTTTATTTACAAGATTAATTTGACAAGCTCTAACTACTTTCATTAAAAAATATTTATTATTTACTATTTTATAAAGAAGTAAAATAGATATGAAAACAAGTTATAAAAATATGTAAACCAAAAATTTTGTTAAATTATTGCATGAAGCATGCCTAGAAAATCTGCAAAAGGGCAGAATGGACACTAAACATCTTCTTGACCAAAACAATCGGCAAAGCGCCTAAGCCAGTGAATTAATTGTGTACTTTAGAATGGTCGATTAGTAAAATCTCAGCTGATTGCCAATCACTTCGAATATTCATATATTTTTGTAACCTTGTAAATATGAAATTAATCCTGTGTGTAAATAAACAATCTAACAAAAAGTAGGGTGTTCCAATAACTTGGACCGATTTTAAATTTGAATTAAGTTTTAAGCGTCTAACGATTTATTTTAACAACTTTAACTTATGTCAAGTCTTTGGCAATTTCAACCATGGAAAGATTAACATTTAACAATCAAACAATGTGTTAGTTAAAGTTATCGAAGCCTATTACAAAAATGGATGTTCAACAAACAGAAAGGCATTTCGCGCACTTCGCGATTTTTGGTCGACATAATCGACCAACCGAGAGTGCAATTGGAAAAATTGTTCGTAAATTCAAACAAACTGGTTTGGTGGCATATGTAAAAAAATAAACACTATTGCGTGCTCGTTTACGTCATTCAGCTGAAAATTTCGCTGCAGTGCACGAGAATGTGGCCCGATTCGCCATCGAGTACATGAATTGAACCTCTTCACAACAACGTTACATTGAATTTTGACAAAAAGATTTGTCTCCACACGCTTACAAAATTCATTTGACACAAGAACTGAAACCTGCTGACCATTTGAAGCGCCGTACATTCGTCAATCAGGTGCATGAGCAAAGACAAACCGATGAAGATTTTTCGCAAAAAATCCACTTTAGTAATGAAGCCTATTTTCATATTCGTTAAGCAGAATTGTCGCATTTGGGCTGATGAAAATCCAAGGAAGATTGTTGAAAGCCGAAAGGCCACTGCATCCACAAAAGGTCACTGTTTGGTGTGCATTTTTTGATAGCAGAATCATTGGGCCGTATATTTATAAATTTGAACGTCTAAATTTTAAGCTTTGATAACTTTAACACGTTTTTTGATTGTTAATGTTTCTATGGTTGAAATTGCCAAAGACTTAAGTTGCTAAATTAGTAAATGCTTAAACTTAATTCACATTTAAAATCGGTTCAAGTTATTGGAACACCCTATTGTAATTCTATGCAACGTTCAGAATTTTAATGACAACAAAAATGTTACACATTGTTGTTAGATGTTGTTAGGGTAACAAGATTGATTTTATATTTACAAGTTGTTTATAATGTTGTAAATATAAAATTAACCTTGTAAATAAGTAATATATGAAGCAACTACAATGCAATATTTATCATTTACAATTTTATAAAGAAATAAATATGAAAACGAATTTTTTTATTTGTAAATGTATCAAAATTTTCAAAAATTCTAAACATATGTGACGGTATGGCGTTGTATGATTGTAAGAAAAGGCAAGAGGTGAAGTTCATGGGCTATGCCAGAAAGATAATTGTTAGCTCTAGAATCGAAGAGGTCAAGATTGTAGAGATTAGGAAAACAACCTGCTAGGAATATGTTCCACAAAGGAGCAATTCTTAAAAAGCAGCAGTCTGAATGGAACTTACTCCTTAGTATAGGAATAGGAAAGGAAAGGGGATGATTCACTCTTGTGTACGTGGCATGGTGGGTCCCTAGTTGTAAAGGTCAGGGGTGATGGGACTAAGGAATGTAACTCGTCAGAAGACATGTTATGGAAGTAGTGATGGAGCAATGAGAAGCTCACAACATTACATCTGTGGAAATGGGGTTGCAGGCTGGAAAAAATTCATTACCTACAAGGCTGTGTAGAGACTTTTGAACTCTGTCAAGACAATCAAGTGAGAACTGGGCAGCGCCACCTCAGGTATGGCAGCAATACTCCATTTTTGATCTGATCTGGCTCTTGTAAAGATAGAGTATAGCAGAGGGAGTTAGATAGTTACTGGAGCACTACAATTAACCAATTTTCCAGTATTGTTAAGAAGAGATATAGGAGTTCCACTTGAGATCTGGAGAGACCTTGAGTCCCAATAGACATTCAAATCAA